ACAGAATCCAAAGCAGGCTCCAGGCTCTGAGCGGTCAGCACAAAGCCCGATGCGGGGATTGAACCCACGAACTGTGAGATCATGACTTGAGCCGAAGTCAGAGGCTTAACCAACTGACCCCAGGTGCTCCTGTTTTCTTTCTCTTTAATTTATAGCCATCCTAGTGTATGTGAAATGGCACTTCATTGTGGTTTTGATTGCATTCCCCTAAGGATGTTGAGCATCTTTTCATACATTTACATACCTTCTTCGGAGCAATGCCTATTCAGGATCTTTGCCTATTAAAAAAATGGGTTGTTGTCTTTTTGTTATTGAGTTGTAAGGGTACTTTATATATTCTGGATACTAGACCTTTATCAGAAATATGATTTGAAAATATTTTCTCCCATTCTGAAAGTTGTCACTTTTCTGATAATGTCCTCTGAACAAAAGTTTTATGTTTCATTGCAATCTAGTTTATCTATTTTTTCTTATTTTGCTTATTTTTATTGGTGTCATATCTTAGAATCCATTGTTAAATCCAAGGTCATGAATGTTTATCCTTATGTTTTTCTTCTAAGAGTTTTATGGGTTTTTTTCTTTTTTAAATGTTTTATTTATTTCTAGGAGAGAGAGAGAGAGAAAGCGTGAGTAGGGGAGAGTCAGAGAGAGAGGGAGTCACAGACTGAAACAGGCTCCAGGCTCTGAGCTGGCAGTCAGCACAGAGCCCGACGCGGGGCTCGAACCCACGAACCGCGAGATCATGACCCAAGCGAAAGTCGGACGCCTAACCGACTAAGCCACCCAGGCGCCCCAAGAGTTTTATGGTTTTAGCTCTTCTATTTATTGATCCATTTTAATTTTTTTCAAAAAATTTTAATGTTTATTTATTTCTGAGAGACAGAGCACAAGTGGGGTCGAGGCAGAGAGAGGGAGAGAGACACAGAATCCGAAGCAGGCTCCAGGCCCTGAGCTGTCAGCACAGAGCCCGATGCAGGGCTCGAACTCACGTACTGTGAGATCCTGACCTGAGCTGAAGTCGTACGCTTAACCGACTGAGCCACCCAGGCACCCCTTAATTTTTCTTTTTTATACAGCATGAGGTAGGGGTCCAACTTATTCTTTTGCATGTGGATCTCCAGCTATGCCAGCACCATTTCTATATGAGGCTATTCTCTCTCCATGGAACAGCCTTTGCCCCCTTGCCAGAAATCAACTGGCCATAGACGCATGGGTTTATTTCTGGACTTTCACTTCCATTCCATTGGTCTGTTTTCGGTCCCTGTGCCAGTACCATGCTGTTCTGAATACTGTAGTCTCGTACTAAGTTTGGAGTTGAGAAGTGTGAGGTCTTTAATTTTATTCTCTTCAAGATTATTTCAGCTATTTGAGGCCTCTTGCAATTCCATATGAATCTGAGGGTTGGTTTGCCATTTCTACAAAAGTGGGCGCTGGAATTTTAATAGAAGTTGCTTTGAATCTATAGGTCACTGTGCACAGTATTGATACCTTTATTATTATTATTATTATTATTATTTTATTTTAGAGAGAGAGAGAGAGAGCATGCATGAGTTGGGCAGAGGGGCAGAGTGAGTGAGAGAGAGAGAGAGAGAGAGAGAGAGAGAATCTCAGGCAGTCTCCATGCTGTCAGGGTGAAGCCCGACTAGGGGCTCGAACCCACAAACCATGAGATCATGACCTGAGCCAAAACCAAGAGTCAGATGCCTAATTGGATGAACCACTGAGGTGCCCCAGTATTTAATTATTTTAAATAGTATTATAAATGGAATTGCTTTTCTAATTTCCTTTTCAGATTGTTTGTGGCTGGCATGTAGAAACACAACTGATTTGTGTGTGGTGATCTTGCATAGCGCAATTTTGCTGAATTTTTTACTAGCTCTAGTTGCTTCCTTGTTTATTATTTGGGATTTTCTATGGAGAAGGTCATGTCATCTGTGAATAAAGAGTTTTAGCTTTTCCTTTTGAATTTGAGTGCCTTTTAATATATTTTTCTTCACTAATAGTTAGAGCTCCTGGTACACCATTGAAGAACAGCAGTGAAAGCAGGCATTATTTCTTTGCTTCTCATCAGAGGGGGAGGGGACATGTTTAGTCTTTCACCATGGAGTCTGATACTAACTGCCGGGTTTTCTGAAATGCACGTTATCAAGGTGAGGTATTTCCTTTTGATTCCTAATTTTTTTTTTAAATGTGTGTGTATTTGTGTGTGTGTGTGTGTGTGTGTGTGTGTGAGTGTGTGAAAGAGAGAGACATATCACAAGCAGGGGAAGGGCAGAGAGAGCGAGACACAGAATCGGAGCTCTGAGCTCTGAGTTGAGCCCAGAGCCTAATGTAGGGCTCGAACCCATGAACCATGAGATTATGACCTAAGCCATACTAGGGTGCTTAACTGACTAAGCCACCCAGGCACCCCTCGATTTCTACTTTTTAAAAATGTTTATTCATTTTTGAGAGCGAGAGAGAGAGCGAGTGGAGGGGAGGGGCAGTGAGAGAGGGAGAGAGAGAATCCCAATCCCACAAATCACAGGATCATGACCTGAGCTTAAATCAAGAGTTTGACGCTCAACCAACTGAGCCACCCAGGCGCCCCCAGGATCTACTTTCTTCATGTTTGTTTTTTACCTTGATGGGAATTTTGATACTTACACTGTCTCATAGCACAGCAGAACAATTATTTTTGTTTCACAATTTGTGTAGGTGACTTCATGTTCCATCACCTGCCCAGCGGTACTACATTTTTACTCTCTCTGGGAAGTTAGGAGGGCAAATCTCCCACAACTTAGGGAGGGAACATGTCCTCAGTCACCTTCCCAATAGGGACTTTCCCCATGCTGCAGAGTTTTGCCTTCCACCTGGATTTTGACAAAGGGAGGTGTTTTGTTTCCCCAGAGGATGGGACTAGGCCCTTCATTGGTCACCTGTGTGCCACCGAGACCCATCATGGTCTTTGACACCTTGTGACATTGACTGAGATGATTTTCTGTGCTTGGTTCCTCCCCACCATGGCACCCTAAGGTATCACTTCGTGGACACTTGTGTTCGCTGTCAGCGGCCTGGGGCTCTAACAGCAGGTGTCTGCAGAAGCGGGGTAGAAATGCCTGATGAACTGCATGGTGTATAAGAAGGTACAGGTGGGTATTCCATCCCCATCCTTTCTAGGACCCTAAACAACCAAGAGGTAGAGCCTAGGACTGGGACAGGAATGAGGGCAGTGTCCATAAAGTCTGTCACCAAATTGAGGTCCACCTTAAGGCATGGGCACGCCTTCCACCCTCTTACCGTCATCTAATATGCTCAGGGGAGCTGGGAGGCAATCAGATGGGTGAGATACCTGAGTTCTAGCAGGGCCCAGGCTGGGTGCCAGGGATGCTCCTTGGCCATCTCGCTGCCTGCATCAGGGAGAAGTCTTGTGTCCTAGAGGGAGGGACAAATAACATGTCGGGGACCTGCCTTTGTCCCAGAGACTCCTGGCTCTTTTTCACACCTGGGCCCTCCCTGTCCCAAGACTTATTCCTGAGATCAGCTTAAGTGAGAGGCAGATGGAGGAGACATGGCTCCTTGGCTGAAAAACCAAGCTGAGGGAGGCCAGGCACATGCCCAAGGGGGCCGAGTTCCAGTGAAGAGGCTGGGGTGGGGTGATTTGGCTAAGATGAGGGAAAGCCAAGGAAAGAGATGGAACACCCAGAAGTCAGGCTGGTAGAGCACCTGGGTTCAGAGGGGTGTCTCTGAGTGATCCCGGGGGCTGGCCGAGGAGGTAACAGGGGTAAGAGCAGGCTGAGCTCAGGGCTCTGTGGGGCACCAGGAGAGTCAAGATGGCCCATAGGGTGCAGGGGGAGACCTGGGGGGGTCTAGAAAGGGCAGGTGGGTTCTAATATGCCAGGCTAATAAAGAGAAAAATACAACTTTTGGATTTTCTTTATTCTGTTCATTTCTTTTTCCCTCTTGACAGATTAAAAAATTCCTTTAGGAAAGTATCCCATTTCTGCTGCACTCAGGGTAAGGGAAATCCAGAGGTGCTGGAGGAGGGCCCTCTCAAGCACCGCTATGCATCCTGGGAGAGAATAGTGCAAGTCTCCACTTCACACTTAAGGTGACAGGAGGTTGCACTTTCTCTCTCTCTCTTTTTTTTTTTTAATGTTTTTTTAATTTATTTTTGAGAGTCAGAGAGAGCACGAGCAGGGGAGGGTCAGAGAGAGGGAGATACAGAATCCAAAGCAGACTCCAGGCTCTAGGCTAGCTGTCAGCACAGAGCCCAACGTGGGGCTCGAACCTACGAGCTGTGAGATCATGACCTGAGCCAAAGTCGGACGCTTAACCAGCTGAGCCCCCAGGTGCCCCAGGAGGCTGCACTTTCTAAGGCAGAGCTTACTGTCAGGACCCCCTACTCTCCATGGTCTCTCTCAGTCTGAGACCAGCCTGCAGGATTGGCACCATGGAGCATGTGCCCTCCCACCCCTCCCCCACTGGCCCACAGTGGAATTGTCTTCTTGGGTTTCTGGTAATTTCATCAGGGCTGCATCATGTTGCTGAAGCTACAGATAGCATCTCCCTATGGGTAACTCTTCCCTAACAGAGCCCCTGAGGCTGGACTTGGGCTTGGCGTTGGAACAACGGGGTGGAGGTCTGTGGGCTATGCGGGTCTGCAGGCAGAAGCAGGGTGGCTGGGCCACCAGAGCAGCGATGAGGAACGATGCCATCCACCACTGGAGCCTGTGGGAAGGGAGAAGGGCCTGGTGTGCCTGCAGCGGCCCTCGTGCGTTATGCCGTCTCCCGACAGCTCCCCCTGGGCTCTACCGACAACCCCCCAGTCCGGGCGAGGGTGCAGAGACACCCCACTCCCCCCCCCCCCAGGCTGGGCAGAGAGACTGTCCCCCAGCACAGGTCCACCTTAACTGGGCAGCCGTGTGGGCGGGGACAGCAGTCCAGGCCCCGTGCAGGACTGAGGGCAGCAGAGCTTCCAGCCGCGACCGGGCCCTCGCGCTGAGCCTGCAGCCGGCACCATGATCCAGGGCGCCTTGGAGCCCGACGGCCCAGGCTGGGGCTGGGACAGCGAGGATGACTGGGACAGCGCTGTCCTCACCCTGCTGGCGCTGGCTGTGGTGGCTGCCACGGCGCTGGCCTTGCACTGGTTTGGCTCCGGGCAGGGGCAGGAGGCGGCGGGACCTGCATCCACAGCCCCCGGGGCCCAGTCTTCTCAGGCTGCAGGAGCCAGGCCGGCCCTGCCCCTGAAGCCCAAGGCCAGTGGTGGCGCCGAGGGACGCAGCGCCGGGCAGGGGCGGCCAGACCCCCCAGGACGTGGCCAGGGGAGCCCGGCTGCAGGGGCCCAGGATCGAGAGCTCCGGGGAGGTGGTCTGGCTGCCGCGGCCGCACCTCCACTCAGGATGCCGGGCGAGGCGGCCAGCGGAGGGGCCTTGGGACGGCAGCACAGCCGTGCGGCTCCGGAAGCCCCGCGAGCTACAGGCAAGGAGCCTCTCAAGCCAGATACCGGCGTCCCGGGTAGAAGCAAAGTAGGGGGCGCATCCGGGCCCCTCCTGATCCACTTCACCCCCGGGAGCCCTGCCAGAGAGACAGAAGGGCAAGTGGAGGCAGGGGGTGTTCCAGCCAAGGTGCCCGCTCACCGGGCCGTGGTCCACGCAGCAGAACAGGACGCCAGCCCCTGGCAACACGGTGCAGGGCCACCTGGCTCACTGGGGAGAGGCCTAAGAGGCCGGCGGTGGCAGGCGGACCAAGGCTCAGGAGACGGAAGCCGCCGCCTCCCAAAGCGGGGCCCCCTCGGCCGCGGCGCCGCGGTGAGCGTGTGGGACGCCGTGGACGCAGCGGGCAGCCGCCGCCCCGCACGAGCCACGCAGACCGCGCCCTTGACGGAGGGCACAGCGGAGGGGCACCGGGCGAGCCTCCCACCGGCCTCAGAGCTAGCTCGGGAGGGCGGGGAGGCTGGGCCCCAGGCCCCCAGGGAGTCTCCGGGACCCCCGGCCTCCGTGGAGGGCTGGCCGTGGCAGAGGAGGGAAGTCCTTGTTGCCAGAAGTTTCACTCAGGCCCCAGGCTCCACGGGCCCGCGGCCGGAGGGGACGCCAGGCGGACACCCGCTCCCGTCGCACGGGCCGCGGGCCGCGGTCAAGGCTGACGGCTGTGGAGGCCGCCCTTTCCCCGGCTCCGGGCGGCGCGGGGCGGAGGAGCGCGGGGGAAAACAACCCGGGCAAGGCCAGGGGGTGCCGAGCGGCCGGCGGGGGGCGGGCGGCCTGGACGGGGGGACGCCCTCCGCACCCTCCGCGGCCTCCCCCTCCCCGCGCGACCCTACGCCCGTCCCACCCGGGGCCTCCGCGCCCACAGCACATCCCTACGGGGGTCTCTCCCGCGCGGGCCCAACTCTTCCCGCCTCCTCTCCTTCAGATTCTTGGTCCCGCAGAGTCAGTCAAGGTTCTGCCGGGGATGAACTGCTCAGGGCGGTGTCAGTGTCAGCCCCTGCCCCCCCTGCCCCTGCGCCTGCCCCCCCAGCCCCTGCCCCTGCCGCAGCCCCAGCTCCAACCCCAGCCTCTGGGGCAGCCCCAGCTCCAGCCCTCGCCCCTGCCCCCGCCCCCGCCCCCGCCCCCGCCCCAAACGCTGAGTCAAGGCCCAGGTCCCGGGAGCCCAGCGTGGCTCTCTGCGAGGACCGCCAGGAGGCGCAGAGCTCATCCAGCTGGAAAAACCTTATTTCCATGGTTCTTAGGAGTCACCCTTTTCCCAGGCAGGAGCGACTCCAAGGGGGAGCCCCGCGGGCGGCCCCCAGGAGCCCTAGAGAGCCCAGCACTGACCCACCCCCTGAGAACAGAGAGCCTGGTTCTCCCCCCGCAGGGCCCGCCCCCAGCCCGGGGGCCAGGAGCGGCTCCTCAGGGGGAGTGGCCCCAGGGGCTGGGTGTCAGCAGCCGCAGAGAAGCGTGGGCACCAGGGAGGCCCCTGCTCCAGACCCGCCCTCAGGCCCCAGAGGAGATGGCGGGGAGGAGAAACACCCAGACTCCCCGCTGCTTGGAGCTGCCATGCCCAGGGCCCCGTCACGGTCCCCTGAGCCCAGGCCACCTGGCCCTGCACCCTCCCCCGCTGCCAGGGGGGTCCCCCAGCCTGTCCCCCGGCCACGGATTCGCAGCACGTGTGGAATAGCAGAGAGCTCTGGGCGGGAGGGCAGCCAGGCGGCCCCGGGCGCGGCTCCAGGGGAGACGCCCTGCCCTGCGGGCAGCGGGGTCGTCCTCACAGAAAAGCAGAGAGAGGCCCCAGAACGCACGGTGCTTCTGCAGAGGCCCGGGAGCCGGGGGGAGGCCGCGGGGCCTCGGAAGCCCAGCCCGCTAGCCCGGGAGCCCCCGGCGGCAGCGGCTCGACGCCGGCGGCGGCCGGACCTGGGCAGCTGCCTGGACGCACTGGCCTCTGCCCAGCAGCACGGGCAGCCCGGCCTGGCGCAGGAGACCTACGCCTTGATGAGCGACAACCTGCTGCACGTGCTGGGAGACCCGGGCCTCTACCGGCAGCTGAGCGGGGCTGACCGGGAGCGCATCCTGAGCCTCCGGACGGGCCGGGGCCAGGCGGTTCTGGGGGTCCTCGTGCTGCCCAGCCTCTACCAGGTGAGCCGCTCGGGGCTCACGAGGGGCCCCTGTGGGGAGGAGGCTCCTACAGCGGGGCCTGCACCCCTGCCTGCTCGCACGCACCTGCACGTGTTCGACCCCCAAGAAAACGCATGGCGGCCCCTGACTCAGGTGCCGGAGGCGGCCCCGCTGCGCGGCTGCGGCCTCTGCACCATGTACAACTACCTGTTCGTGGCGGGGGGCATCCGCGGCTCCGGGGCCACGGCCGTCTGCTCCAGCGAGGTCTTCTGCTACGACCCGCTGACCAACGTCTGGAGCCAGGTGCGGCCCATGCAGCAGGCCCGCGCCCAGCTCAAGCTGGTGGCCCTGGATGGGCTTCTTTATGCCATTGGTGGAGAGTGCCTGTACAGCATGGAGCGCTACGACCCGCGCACGGACGCCTGGACCTTGCGTGCGCCCCTTCCTGCGGGCACCTTCCCCGTGGCACACGAGGCTGTGGCCTGCCGTGGGGACATCTATGTCACCGGGGGCCACCTCTTCTACCGCTTGCTCAGGTACAGCCCCGTGAAGGATGCGTGGGACGAATGCCCCTACAGTGCCAGCCACCGGCGTTCCAGCGACATGGTGGCGTTGGGAGGTTTCCTATACCGATTCGACCTGCTGCGGGGTGTGGGCGCCGCAGTGATGCGCTACAACACTGTAACCGGCTCCTGGAGCCGGGCCGCCTCCCTGCCGCTGCCGGACCCGCTCCCGCTGCGGTGCACCACGCTGGGTAACACCATTTACTGCCTCAACCACCAGGTCACCGCCACCTTTACAGTCTCCGAGGGGACTGCCCAGTTCCAGGCCAGGGAGTTGCAGCCCTTTCCTCTGGGAAGTAAGGGGGTCCTCTGTCCATTCATCTTGACTCTGCCTGCCACCAGCCGCCTGCAAACTGCTCTCTGAGCTGCTGCTCTCCAGGGAGACCCTGGGCCTGGGGGTCTGAGGCAAGTGGAGCACAGGAGATGCCTGGCAGAACCTTCTGCTGTTGTTTCTGGGACAGCTTTGTTTTTCTGCTCTAATAAAGCTCATGATCACCCCGCTTCCATACCCCTTTCCCTGAAAGAGCCCTGTCCCCCTGGGAGCTCAGGCTCCTTGCATCTGTGAACTGGTTGCTGGGCATCCCTAGCCGGCTTCTAACCTTCTCACCACAGCATGCTGTTTACTGCCTTTTCCACTTAGTTCTTGCCCTCACGCCTCAGCTGGCTCACAGCCCCTCCTCCAGGGGCTCCTCCTCCTCCCCTAACCCTCCTCCCCTTCTCTGGGCTCCCAGGAGCCAGGCGTCCTCTCTGCAGCACTGCACACTGCCTGGAAAAATCTGTGCGTGGGTCTCTCTGGTGCTCTGCGAGCCAGAGACCTTGGAGACCAGGATTCGGCTTGTGGAGGGGTTGAGTGACTGCTGAGCCAAGGAAGGAGGTGGCTAGAGAGTCACACTCCCTGCGCTCTGTCCCTCGAGCTCCAAGCTGCGCAAGGGTCTGTAAGGGAGTGGGACAGGGGAGCAAGGAACAGAGGGTCCCCAGGAAAATGTCCTTGCCTCAGGCCTTGGGAGCCGGGTTGGCTCCTCCTGGGAAAGACCCTGTAGCCCTCCTTTGTGCAACTGGTCCCCAGAGGCCTAGAGCCCTGCCTGCGAAACTGTTCTGCCCCTGCCTGTAACCACTTAGGCCCATGCCCCTCTGCGGCTTGTGGGGTCTCTCCCCCGACCCCTGCTCTGCCCCTCCAGAAGCCAGCCTCACTTCCCACCATCCCCTGTTCTTCTGTGAGGCCCAGGTTTCACCTGAGCTCTCTCCCCTGATAGCTGTGGACTTAGCCAGACATAGGATTCCATTCTTCTCCTCTGCGCGGTGGGGAACATGAACATCTGTTACTCAGGAGAGCTGTGAGGGCACGAGGGCACCTGTGGGCGCCTGGCACAGTGCCCAGGATGGAGAGATAATGTCCCCTTTACCCATTTTGGAATCCATCACAGGAAGGTAAATAAATCTGACTGAATACTGCTGCCTGTCCCACCATCTGTCCTGGTTTGTCCCTATCTGACCCTATTTTTGCTTTTTATTCTATGCTTAGAGCTATTGGCACTAAATATGTTTAATTCATTGAAAGCATCTACATGTTATAATTCTCATTTTTCGCTCACAAGGCTTGATTTGCTGCTGGGTAGGACGGAAAGGGGTCCTCAGGTTGTTCTTAAAAATAAGTTTATTGAAAAACAAGTACGGTTCATACAGCTATATATTATGGTTACTGTTACTCTGCCAAACAGAGAGGGCTCTGTGCCCCAGGGGTTTCTCCACACTGGCAGGTGGCAGCATGGTGGCCATGCATGGGCAGGGGGCCTACTGTTTGCGCTTGGTCTCATTGAGTAGCTCTTGCCAGTTCTTCTCCATCTCCTCCTTGCAGTTGAGGAAGGCATCCTCCAGCCGGCGCATGGACTCCGCCAGTGTGGGGTTGGTGCGCATCACCACCATGTCGTAGGCCATCCACGTGGCTTGCACTGCAACAACCAGATGGGCCCTGATCAGGCTACAGAGTGGGGCCGTGGCTCTGAGCACCCCAGGGAGGGCCAGATGCCTCCAACCATGCTAAGCATCCCAGAGTCTAGATCCCGCTGAGTTACCCAATTACTCTGAGGAGAGAGAACTGGTAGGCTACATGTTATAGGGTTCATAAAAGCCACTATTAAAATTCCCTACACAGAGCACTACTTCCCTGATCTCATGCAAGTGTTAACTTCTGGATACATCAGCCCATGATGCTAAGACTAGAGGCCAGTCTGATATAAAATATTAGGACAAATTAGAGCAAACTCAGGTCCTTACCCATCTGCAGTTTACAGTTCGTGGTTGCAGGGTGAGCCCTGAGGGGTCGTAACACCTGTCCAAGCTCACATGCTCAAGCAGGACTGACTATTCGTACTCCTGCAAGGCCCTGAGCCTCATGCTGCCTTATGCACAGTGGCCTGGATGCCTGCCCCCTTCTATCCGGGACCTCTGTGCTATCATGAAGGCCAGTGCAGGGACTCTTCCTTGTGGAAAGGTTTGCCACATCCCACGTTAGGTGTCCTTTGGTGCTCACCACTGCACTGAGTTTATTGCTGTTTCCCATCGAGAGCAACTCAAGGGCAGTATCCCCGGGGCCTATAGGTGAACACACGCTTCTTGTACAAATTCAGTGGAAGTGTGGAGAAACCTCACCTCCCTGCAGCACCCACCACACTGGGGTGGTTCGACCCTCTATCGTTACAGAAAACAAAGCTCATCTCCCTTCCGCATGACAGCCAACCACAGTACATATATCTCCCCCTGAAAACTGCTCTTTGGTGGGCTAAAACATACTGGACACTTTGGAGAACTAGGTCCTCAAGGAAATTAACCAAAGAGGAGATAGGTGAATAAATCATAATAATAATAGCACAAGAATAGGTACATACAACCAAGGTCAGCAGCACGACAGACTTGATGTTTTACAGAAAATGACATGTTTGGTTAGGGGAAAATTGTTGGAAAAGCTATGTGCAGTATCTTAACAGAGGGCATACAGTTATACAGCTTGTATAAGATTATTGAGCTTTTGGATGCATGAGAGTCACTTGGGACACCTTTTAAAATGGAGATCGCTGGCCTGTCCCACAACGCAGAGAAGGTCTTCTCTAGCATCTTGGGATTGGTGCCCAGGGACGAGGATCTTAAAAAGGAGACCATCCTTACAGACTGCTGGACAGTGGGTGCAGCACGCACCCGGGAGTCAGAGCAGTGTGCTTTCTGGCTCTCTCTACTTGCTACCCGTGTGACCAGAAACAAGTGACTTAAATTTACCAACCTCATTTGTAAAGGACGCACAACACCCCAATCTCACAGCTTGCCATGGTTAAATGGCTGATGTATGTAAAATGCCTAGCACAGATTATGGTGTTCAAGACAGGAGAAACCCTTACCATAGAATAAATAGAGATATTCAGGGCAAAGAGTTAGAGTAGGTAAGAAATAAAAATTCAGAAGGGGAAAAAAAGCTTGCAGAAATGAGTCTCATATGGTTCCACACAGCAGTTGGAATTCTAGCTCTGAATTTCCTAAGGCCAAAGTAGAGAAAACATGCTCGGATTTAAGACTCGGTGACCATAAAATAAAAACAAACCCATGAAGGACAGCTGGGTGGCTCAGTCGGTTGAGTGTCCAACTGCAGCTGAGGTCATGACCTCACGGTTCCTGAATTTGAGCCCCACATTGGGCTCGATGCTGTCAGCGTGGAGCCTGCTTTGGATCCTGTGTCCCCCTCTCCCTCTGCCCCTCCCCTGCTCACACACATACTCTCTCTCTCACATAAATAAATAAACATTAAAAAAACAACAACAGGGATGCCTGGGTGGCTCTGTCCATTAAGTGTCCGCCTTTGGCTCAGGTCATGATCTTGCGATTTGTGGGTTCAAGCCCCACATTGGATTCTGTGCTGACAGTTCAGAGCCTGGAGCCTGCTTCTGTGTCTTCCTCTCTCTCTGCCCCTCCCTCGCTTGTGCTCTCTCTCTCTCTCTCTCAAAAATAAAGATATAAAAAAAAATTTTTTTTAATTACACACTTTTATCCTAAGAAAAAATTTTCCTATAGGTATATTCTATGAGAAGCATATAGTATAGTTGGAAATGTCTTTGACAACATCCCTACTTTAAATACAAAGTGATTCTTCCATGTCTATTGTTGTAATCACTGGTAAAAGAAAGCTGGCATACTGCCAAAGCACAGTTTAGAAAAGGTAATTCAATGAGACACCAAAACACTATATCAAGAGCAAAGCCCTCTTTGATTTGATGCAAGGAAGAAAATTCAGAATGCATAGAAAAGGAAGAACTCATGATCACCAGAAGATCCTCCAGAAATATGCACCTCTTGAGTTTTTCATTCATTCAGTACTTATTGAACACCTCTGTGCTGGCATTTTGTTAAGGCGCTCCTGGCCTCCTGGCAATACAGCAAGAAACAAGACAGACACACCGGCCTTCACGAAGTGTCTATTCTGGGGGCCGTGGGAGGAGGCGGAATAAACATACACGACAATGACAGCACCCTTGGGAAGGGTGCTGTGTGGCAATAAGCAGCAGGCACGGAGACAGAGAAACGGGGTAGGAGGAGTCTCACTTTGAACCAGATGGTAAGGGCAGGCTCTCTCTGAGAGCTTTTGGTAAGGCCTGAACATTAGCAAACCCAAAGTCATAACCTCTGGAAAAGCCTAAACAGCAGATGTTCTAAGAAGCCAACTAGGGCTCACCTAACACACTGTACTAACATGCTGGGGAGGGCTAAACCCTCATGCAGAAAGAAAAAACAGCCAAGACGTGGGGCACCTGGGTGGCTCAGTCACTTAAGCGCCTGACTCTTGCTTTCAGCTGAGGTCATGACCTCACGGTTCATGGGCTTGAGCCCCAGTTCGGGCTCCACGACGCTGGTGTGGAGCCTGACTGGGATTCCCCTCTCTGCTTGCTCCCTCTGTCTCTACCCCCCCGCCCCCCCGCTCATACACGTGTGCATTCTATAAACAAACAAACAAAGCAAGGTTCAAAGGATGAAGATTACGTGTTCCAAAAATCTGGGGTAGGAGAGGGAAGGACATCACTTAGGGGTGTAGTAAGTGAATTTGTTTTGAGGGCCTGGAAGGTAGGCAGGGAGTACAGGAGTGATGACGAAAGGGCCAGCTGAGCCATATGGTAAGGGGACCAAGGTGGGCCTGGAGTTTACAGCCACAGGCTAATTCCACCTGTGGCAAAACAGACCAATCAACATTTTAAACATAATTGGTGAAGCTGTACCTCCCAAATCTCAGGCCCCAGATGGTATTGGAGATGAATTCCACAAACTTTGAAATAACAGTTAATTCTTACATAATACGAGTGATTCCAGAAATTAGAAAAAGAAGAGTGATAATCTTGCTCTATGGATATAGAAGCATTCTATTTACATTATAGAAAATTTGAGAACAGAGATAAACAAAAATAAATACATAATTTTCCATAAGCTGGTTTGTTCTAAAATCAAAGATTGTATGAAAAAAATATAGGTCTATTTCATACCAATATAGATATAAAACTCTAAACATAACATGAACTAACCAAACCTAACAATGTGTTAAAATAGTATGGTATGATCGAGTAGAATTTGTAAAAGAAATTCAAGGATGGTTGAGTATCAGAAAGTCAATCAGTGTAATGAATCACATTAATAAAAGGGGAGGAACATGGCCCTAGGAGGGGTGCAGAGCAAGTGGGCTCCCGGGACCCTGGAGGCTGAGGGCAGGCACTGTCCGCACACTGAGCACAGGTTCTGCTCTACTCTCTAGGCGTAAATTCACAGACAAACATGAATGGATGACAACAGAAAATGGTATGGGAACAAGTGGGAATCAGCAATTTTGCACAGGAAGCTTTGGGGGGGTGTCATGTACTGTAGCCTGCCTGGTGCTGGGACAAAACTGAACAAACAAGAGGAGTCTGGTGCTTTGGAAGGTGTGAAAGCTGCCGGTGAACTCTATTCTCTGTCAAGGGAAGTAACTGAAATTAATGAAGCTCTTGCAGAAAATCCAGGACTTGTCAACAAATCTTGTTATGAAGATGGTTGGCTGATCAAAGTAATACTCAGTAATCCTTCAGAACTGGATAAATTAATGAAGAAGCATGTGAGAAGTACATAAAATCTATTGACAAGTGAAAACAGAAATCCTGAATAAACTAGTATGAAACAACTTAGTCTAGCATGGTTGTCTTAAATTAGTGGTGCAGAGAGGTTTTAAGATAGCCACTTTTAGGGGCGCCTGGGTGGCTTAGTCGGTTGAGCGTCCGACTTTCGCTTGGGTCATGATCTCGCGGTTCGTGGGTTCGAGCCCCGCGTCGGGCTCTGTGCTGACTGCCAGCTCAGAGCCTGGAGCCTGTTTCAGTCTGTGACTCCCTCTCTCTCTGACCCTCCCCTGCTCACGCTGTCTCTCTCTCTCTCTCTCTCCTAGAAATAAACAAAATATTTTTTTTTAAAAAGTCTTTTAGAAGATTTGTGGAAAAGAACTTTTATTTGTTGTGAGCAAAGCTTGCTAAGGTTTGGTGGGCTTATTTAGAAGATTACAAAAAAGACTTTAGTATCAGATATTATGCTGATGCAAAACTAGAATTTGTTTTTATCTCTGTTAAAATGAGAAAATTTTCTCAGATCGTTGGTCTGCTCTTAATATGAGGTTTTAAAATGTTATGCTTTACTTTCTGTGTAATCTGCCTAGATAGCAAAGATTCCATGCTTTTATTAAGTTTATTTATTTATTTTGAGAGGGACAGAGACAGGGTGAGTGAGGGAGGAAGAGAGAGGGGGGGAGGGGGAGACAAAATCCCAAGCAGGCTCCATGCTGCCAGCACAGAGCTTAATGTGGGGCGCAAACTCACGAAACCGCAAGATCATGACCTGAACTGAAATCAAGAGTCAACGCTTAACTGATGAACCCCCCAGGCTCCCCAAGATTCTGTGTTGT